GTCTGTCAGCGTGTGCTAATTCCATTAACCGATATTAGGATTGCTCAAATTGTATTCGAATTCCAGGCCATGAAATATGTATGCAGATTAACGAGAATTTTCAAAATAAAAAAAAAAATATACAAATGCTGTGGAGATATACTTATTTACGGGGGCGTTTACATTTGGGGGGGGGGGGGGGGGTTTTCAGGAAGGGCAAGCTGCGAAACAGGAATGCCTTTTTAATTGGCAATGTAATTGTTGTCTTCAAGCCCCGGAGCCTGACATTCTTCCAAACCACCATAAATTGCCGTTGATTAGTGTTGATTTCATACGTCATTTCTGGAATTATTCAAACAAATGTTATTCCTCTCCCCCTCACTTCCTCTCGCACACTCTTTCTCACTCCCTTAATGAGCCTAAACATAATCACATAAAAATGAAATATTGTTTATGATGATTGCGGCATTTAATGAAATTGAAGATTTAATAACAAAAAAAAAAAAAAAAAAAACAAAACGAGAAAAAGGAACACGAAATAGTCATTTTGTTGTTGTTTTAATGGGCCTCCTCTCACACACACACATATATATAGCATACAAGGGCATATGTAGATTCTATGAACGTATGTATGTCATGAGGTCGCATTTACAAAAATATGTCATTTGCTAGTAATTCACCACATATGTGCAGATGTATGTGTGTCCACAAGTAGTTCGTCAATTATTACACATCTTGTGCGTGTGTGTGCGTTGTATGCTAATAAGGTATATTAGGAGAAATTGAACAACAAAATTACGAGAAAAATCCGATAAAAATAATTGGTACAGTGAAGCATTCCATTTTCGATTGGGATTCCTATTACGGAAATTATCGAAAATATATATTCAGTTGACAAATGTTGTCGATAACCACTTTTCTGCAGGGAAAAGTAATTGATAACCACTATTCAGCAGAGAAAAGTTATCGATAACAATTTTTAATGGAAAAAATTACCGATAAAAACTTTTCTATAGAAAAAATGATCGATAACTAAGTTTTTATATAGAAAATTTATCGATAACACATTTTTTTAATATAAAAAAATTATCGATAAAACTATCGATAACATTTTTCTCTTAGAGAAAATTTATCCATAAAATATTTTTCATATATAAAATTATCGATAATAAATTTTTCATATAGAAATGTTATCGACAAAATTTTTCCTCAAAGAAAATTTATCGATAACAATTTTTTTTTAAAAAATTTACCGATTATAAAATTTTCATATAGAGAAGTTATCGATAACAACAAAAAATATTTCATAATTATCGATAACATTTTTTCCCCAGAGAAAATTAATCGATAACAAATTTTTCATATAGAAAAATTATCGATAACATTTTTTCCTTCGAGACAATTTATCCATAGCAAATTTTGCATATAAAAAAGTCATCGACAACATGTTTTCCTTAGAAAAAAATTATCGATGACAAGTTCTTTATGTAGAAAAGTTATCGATAACATTTTTTCCTTAGAGAAAATTAATCGATAACAAATATTTCACAGAGAAAAATGATCGATAATCTTGTTTTTATCTTTTTCATTAAAGAAAATTTATCGATAATACATGTTTCATATAGAAAAGTTATCGATAACATTTTTACCATAGAGTCAATTTATCAATAACAAACTTTTCATGTAGAAAAGTTATCGATAACATTCTTTTCTTAGAGAAAATTTATTAATAAAAAATTTGTTAGTTTTTCCTCAGAGAAAATTTATCGATAACAAATTCTTCCTTACAAAAAAAAAATTATCAATAACAAACTTTTCATATAGAAAAGTTATCGATAACTTTTTTTCTAAGAGAAAAATTATCGATAACATAATTTTTATAAAGAAAATTCATCGATAACTTTATTTTCTTAGAGAAAATTTATCGATAACAAGTTTTTCCTTAGAAAAAAAAATGATCAACAACAAATATTTCATACCGAAACATCATCGACAACACTTTTTCTTCAAAGAAAGATTTATCGACAATAAATGCTTTATAAAGTTATCGATATAATTTTTTCCTTATAGAAAATTTACCGATAATAATATTTTCATTCAGAAAAGTAATCGATTACAACAAAAAATGTTTCATAATTATCGATAACATTTTTTCCTCAGAGAAAATTTATCGATAACACATTTTTTGTATAGAAAAGTTATCGATTACATTTCTTTCCTAGAGAAAATTTATCGATAATAATTATTTCATTTAGAAAAATTATCGACAACATGTTTTTTCATCGATATTTTTTTCCTTAGAGAAAATGTATTGATAATAATTTTTTTATATAGAAAAGTTATCGATAATATGTTTAAAAAGAAAAAAGAATCCTTAAAAATAATTTATCGATTTCATATAGAAAAGTTATCGATAACTTTTTTCCCTACAGAAAATTTATCGATAACATGTTTTTCATATATAAAAGTTATGAAAAACATTTTTCTTCTTAGAGAAAATTTATCGATTGCACATTTTTTTAAAAATTTATCAATAACAAATTTTTCACATAAAAAAGTTATCGATAACATTTTTTCCTCAGAGAAAATTCATCGATAACAAATTTTTATATAGAAAATTCATTGATAAATTTATTTTCTTAGAGAGAGCTTATCGATAACAAATTTTTTATATAGAAATGTTATCGATAACATTTTTTCCTCAAAAAAAATATATCGACAACAAATTTTTTTATAAAAAATTTATCGATAACAATTTTTTTGTAAAGAAAATTAATCGATAACAAATTTTTCATACAGAAAAGTTATCGATGACAAATTTTTCATATGAAAAAGTTATCGATAACGTTTTTTCCTTACAAAAAATTTTATCGATAACAATTACGTCATAAAGAAAAGTAATCCTTAGAGAAAATTTATCGATAACAATTTTTTTTATATGGAAAAGTTATCGATTACAAAATTCTTATAAAAAAAAATTCATCGATAACTTTAACTCAGAAAAAAATTCATCGATAACTTTATTTTCTTAACGATTGTACATTTTTCAAAAATTTATCGATAGCAAATTTTTCATATATAAAGGTTATCGATAACATTCTTTCCTTAGAGAAAATTTATTGACAACAAACTTTTCATATAGAAAAGCTATCGATAATATTTTTTTCTTAGAGAAGATTTTTCGATAACTCAGTTTTTTATACAGAAAAGCTTTCGATAACTTTTTTCCTCTGGGAGAAAATTTATCGATTACAAATTTTTTATGCAAAAAAGTATCGATAACAATATTTTCATATAGAAATGTTATCGATAACACTTTTTCTTTGAAAACATCATCGACAAAATGTTTTTTTTCGTAGAGAAAATTTATCGATAACAAATTTTTCATATAGAAAAATCATCGATAACTCTTCATCGATAACTTAGACAAAATTTATCGTTAACAAATTTTTCATATAGAAAAGTTATCGTTAACACTTTTTCCACAGAGAAAACCTATCGATAACAAAATTTTAACATAGAAAATTTTCGATAACTTTTGTAACTTAGAGAAAATTTAGCGATAACAAATTTTTCAAAAAGAAAAGTTATCGATAACATTTTTTCATTAGAGAAAAGTTATCGATATCAAATTTTTTATATAGAAAATTCATTGATAACATTTTTCCCTTACACAAAATTTATCGATGACACATTTTCCGTAGGGAAAATTTATCGACTACTTTTTTCGTTAGAAAATCCATCGATAATTTTTTTCCTAAGAGAACATTTATCAATAAAAAATTTTTTGTATAGAAAAGTTATCGATAGCAATTTTCCTCAAAGAAAATTTATCGATAAAAGTTTTTTCATATAAAAAATTTATCGATAATATTTTTTCCCCAAAAAAATGTATCGATAACAAATTTTTCATAAGGAAAATTTGTCCACGACAAATTTTTCATAAAGATAAGTTATCGATAACAAATTTTCCTTAAAGAAAATTTATCGATAAAAAATTTTACATATACAAAAGTTATCGATAACTTTTTTCCTTAGATGAAATTTATTTATCGAATATAGAAATTTATCGATAACAGTTTTTCCTTAGATGAAGTTTATTGATAACAAATATTTCAAAAGTTATCGATAACTTTTTTCTTTAAATTTTTTTTTCATAAAATCTTTTCGCGCCCACAGTCCATCCCTACGCACATTACAGACAATTGCTTTTATGGCCCGGCTCGCCTAGAAAAAAATAATGATTGTATCTTGGCTTTTGAATGGCAGATGGATGAGATATCGGTTACAGTTGTGGATTTGCCATTGCTCGGCATGACGTCTAATGACAATAATCTTGATTGTTAAAATGACAAATTTGATAAATGTGATGTGCGAGCGATGGAGAAACTGGATGAGAGGAATGAATAAAGACAATGGAAAATGTGCCGTGACAGCTGGGAAGGGAAAGATTTGTAATTAGGTAGATATGTGCGTATGTACATTTATGTGTGTGTGCCATAGGACTAGAAAAATTATCGAAATAGATATTTTTTGAAAAAATTATTTTTTTTTTTAATTTTCAATGCATTGTTGAATGGAAATGTAACCAAAAATTCTATGATTAAAGAGAACCCCTCTCTCTGACTCTTATTTTGGCCCCTTCCCCACTCAAGACGAACCGTCATAATCTCATTTGGATTTCCCCAATTATATTTAAATTGTTATTCCCTGCCCTTCTCAACCGCACAGACCGATAAGTGAGAGAGTGGCATATTCAATTACCTGACATTAATACAGCATCACCAGGAAGTTTATTAGCCCAACACGTCTCGAAATTTATGTTAATTTTCATTTTTTTTTTAATTTTATGGCTTGAATATCGAACAACAACCACAACAACCCAAGCAGTTATTATTATTAAAAATTAATGCAACTTGTGTAACATTAATTAACCAGCTCATTATAATTTAGTAGAGAAAAAAATTGACTGAATGAATAAATAAAAATTAAAAATAAATTATTTGATTTTCTTTTTACAGGAAACACGATTCGTAAATGAATTCGGTGTGAAATGTTCCATGGGAGATAATCGCACAGAATGTTATCGACAGAGGGTAAGTTGTAAACGGAATGTGGTAAGAACTCATACAAAAATAATAGAAAAGTCAAAAAAAAAAAAAATTGACAGAAATATGGTCGATAACAAATATTCCTGATAGAAAAGTTATCGATAACAGTTTTTTTCATAAAGAAAAAATATAGACAACAACATCAAGCGATAACAAGACTGTATAACAAAAAATGTTATCAATAAAAAATTTTTTAGAGTAATTATCGAAAACTACGATATTAATTTCGATACGAAATTTTTTCTTAAGAAAAGTTTTCGATAACAATTTTTCTCTTAACAAGGGTTATCGATAAGAAAGTTTTTCTGAAGAAAATTTACCGATACAAATTTTTTGTAAAGAAAATTTATAGATAACAATTATTCAATGGAAATTTATCGATAACAATTTGATTTTAAAGGAAAGTAATCGATAAAAAAAATTTATTTTTCAAAAAAGTGCTATCAATATAAGCTTTTTCTTTAGGAAAATATACCGATAACAATGTGTCTCTTAAGAAAAATTGTCGATAACAACTTTTGTCTCAAGAAAAGCGATCGATAATTAGGGAAAATTGGTCGATAAAAATATTTGTTTTTAACGAAAAGTTTTTTATAACAAATTTTTATCGATAAGAGTATTTTTTTTAAAGAAGGGTTATCGATAATATTATTTTTCCAAAAATAATTATCGATAACATCACTTTTGCAAAGGAAAGTTATCGATAATAACTTAAAAAAATGGTGGGTTAAATATTTTTTTAATGAAAAGTTATCGATAACATTATTTCTCTGAAGAAAAATTATCGATAAAATATAGTTTTTAAAGAAAACTTTTCTATAACAACGTTTTAATATAAAAGCTATCGACAACAAATGTTATCGATAAAAATATTTTTCTGAAAAAGCAGTCGAAAACAATATTTATGAAAATAAAGGTTATCGATAACAACTTTTTTCTGAAGAAAAGTTATGGATGACAACTCTTTACTAAAAAAATGTCGATAACGACTGTTTTCTAAAGAAAAGTTATCGGAAAAGTTATTGATAACGATTTGCTTCTTAGAAAAAATCGTCGGTAACAACTATTTCTAAAGAAAATTTATCGATATCAGGCTTTTTCTAAAGAAAGTTATTGAAAAGAATCTGGTTTTTAAGAAAAGTTATCGACTAATTCTATTCTCTAAAGAAAAGTGATCAATAGCTATAGTAATCGATTACAATATAGATCCAAATAGAAGTTTTCGATAACATTATTTTTCTAGCGAAAAATTATCGATAACTACTTTTCTCTAAAGAAAAATTATCAATACAATATTGTTTCTAAAGAAAAGTTATCGCTAACAACTATTTTCAAAAGAAAGTTATCGATAAGATATTAACATCGATAAGATGTAAAGTAATCGATAAGATATCCTTAGTTTTTAAGAGAAGTGATGGATTACAATAAATTTTAAAAAAAGTTATCGATAACTTTATTTTTCTAAAGAATATTTTATTTTTCTAAAGAAAAGCGATAACAATTGTTTTTCTAAAGAAAAGTAATTGAAAGCAACTTTTCTGTGAAGAATAATATTGTTATCGATATTTTGTTAAGGAAAACTTATCGATTTCAATTCTCGTCTACTAAAATGTCACCGATAACAACTTGTTCTAAATAAAAATTAAAAATTACAATATTGTTTGAAGAAAAGTTATCGATAACATTTTTTTTCCCAGCCCAAAAGTAATCAATAGCAATTTTTTTCTAGATAAAAGTTATCGATAACAACTTTTTACAATGAAATCTTTTCGATAGCATATTTTTTCTAAAGAAAGTTATCGATCACAATTTTTTTCTACAGAATATTATTAATACCAATTATTTTTCTATTGAAAAATTATCGATAATAGTTTTTCTTCTTTAGGAATCTTATCGATAAAAACTCTTTTTTAAAGAAAATTTATCGATAACAATTTTCTTGTTAAGGAAAATGAACGATAACAATGTTTTTTTTTACATAAGATTTGTCGATAACAATTTGTTTCTAAAGAAAAGTTATCGAAAAAAATGTTTTTAAAGAAAAGTTATCGATAATATATGACATCTAAAGAAAAGTTGTTGATAACAATTTTTTTCCACATTTTTTTCTAGAGAGAATTTATCGATAATTCATGTTTTTTAAAAGAATGTTTCATAACATCTATTTTCTAAAGAAAAGCTATCGATAAGAATTTTTTTCGTAAAGAAATGTTATCGATAAAAACTTTTTTTTACAAAAAAAGTTGTCGATAATAAGTTTTTTTTAAAGAAAAGTGTTCAATAACAATTTCTGGAAAGTGGTCGACAAAAATATTTTTCTAAAGAAAATTTATCGATAATATATTGTTTATAGAAAAAAGTTATCGATATAAGCGGTTTTTTACGCGGTTTTAAGAAATGTTATCGAAAACAACATTTTCTAAAGAAAAGTTGTCGATAGCACATATTTTTGAAGAAAACGTTTCTATTTCCTAAAGGAAAGTTATCGATAACATTTTTTTTCTTAAGAAAAAATTATCGATAATAATTTTTTTCTTGAGAAATGTTATAGATATCTCTTTTTTCTAAAAGTACATTTTTCGATTGCCACTTTTTTCTTATGTAAAGCTATCGATAACAACACTTTTCCAAAGAAAATTTATCGATAATAACTTTTTCTAAAGAAAAGCTATCGACTAATATTTGGACAATGTTTTTCTAAAGATAAGTGTTCGATAACAATATTTTTCTATAGAATTGTGGTCGATAACAACATTTTGCTAAAGGAAAGTTATCGATAATATTATTTTTCCAAAGAAAAGTTTTCGATAACCACTTTTTCCTAAAGAAAAGTGATCCATAACTTAATACTTTTAAAAAAAGTAGTCGATATAGTCAATATTTTATCGATAAGATATTGTTTCCAAAAAAAGTTATCGATATAAGCATTTTTTTACATAAAAGTGGTCGATATCAATTTTCTAAAGAAAAGTTGTCGATTACACCTTTTTTTGAAGAAAACATTTCTAGTTTCTGATGGAAAGTTATCGATAACAATTTTTTTGTTAAGAAAAAATTATCGATAACAACTCTTTTCTGGAAAAAAGTTATAGATAAAGAAAAGTTGTCGATTACACCTTTTTTGAAGAAAACATTTCTAGTTTCTGATGGAAAGTTATCGATAACAATTTTTTTGTTAAGAAAAAATTATCGATAACAACTCTTTTCTGGAAAAAAGTTATAGATAACTCCTTCCTCTTAAAGAACATTTTTCGATAACAACACTTTTCTAAAGAAAATTTATCGATAACAATTTTTTTCGAAAGAAAATTTATCGATAACAACTCTTTTTCTAAGAAAAGCTGTCCACTAATATTTCGACAATACTTTTCTAACTAAACATTGCACATAAACATGTTTTTATAAGAACAACAATAAAGGGATTAAGCCTGACCATTTTGCAACAACAAAAATGTGTGATAACAATATTTTTCTATAGAAATGTGGTCGATAACAACATTTTGCCAAAGTAAAGTTATCGATAATATTATTTTTCCAAAGAAAAGTTTTCGATAACCACTTTTTTCTAAAGAAAAGTGATCCATAACTTTATACTTTTAAGAAAAGTAGTCGATATAGTCAATATTTTATCGATAAGATATTGTTTCCAAAAAAAAGTTATCGACATAAGCATTTTTTTTTCATACAAGTGGTCGATAACAACTTTTTCAAAAGAAAATATATTTATACTTATTAGTTTTCGATAACACCTTTTTTTAAAGAAAACTTTTCTATTTTCTAAAGGAAACTTATCGATAACAATTTTTTTCTTAAGAAAAAATTGTCGATAACAACTCTTTTCTGCAAAAAAGGTATAGATAACTCATTTTTTCTTGAAATACATTTTTCGTAGCAACTTTTTTCTTAAGAAAAGTTATCGATAACAACACTTTTCTGAAGAAAATTTATCGATAACAATTTTTTTAAAGAAAAGCTATCGACTAATATTTCGACAATATTTTTCTAAATAAACATTACCATCGTTCTCCACTAATAAACAAACGTTGTTTTTATACAAAACAACAATAAAGGGATTAAGCCTGACCATTTTGCAATAACAAAAGTGTTCGAAAACAATATTTTTCCAAAGAAATGTGGTCGATAATAACAGTTTTTTCAAGTAAAGTTACCGATAACAACCTTTTCTAAATACAAATTAAAGATGACAATATTTTTTTTTTTTAATCGTTTCCGATAACAATTTTTCTATGGAAAACTTTTAGCGATAACATTATTTTTCTAAACAAATTATCGATTAAAATTTTTCTAACTATTTTTTAGGAAATGTTATCAAACACAAAATAGTTCTAAAGAAAATAGATCAACAATTTTTTTTTCTAAAAAAAAAAATTTGAAAACCACTTTTTCGAAGGGAGCAGAGATTGTCGATAACAACGTTTCGATAAATGATCTATAATGATAAGAAGTTTTCTTTGGAGAACAGTTGCAGATAACAATTTTTCCTTGGCTAAAACTCACCGATCACCCATTTTACATAGATAATAGTTGCCGATTACAACATTTCATATCCTAAATTCAAATGTTTTTTTTTTTGAACGCCACTCACATCGAAGCACGGCTCAGTGAACATCTGAGAATGTTTTGTTTCAATTACTCGACAATGCCATTGTCATTAACGTTCATCTTTTCCATGCATAGTTTGTGACCCTGAGCTCTTGTTGTTACACTTCTTTGAGTTTTGTCACATTTCTTGTGAGAAATCAAAGTTCTCATTTACCAAAGTTAGTTTATGTGTGGAGGGCACACACACATACACTCTCACACGCACGAAACTTGTACAAGGACATTTTGTTACATCTGAAATTTGAGACAATTTGAGACAGGGAATGAATGAATGAATGCATGAATCAACCGGCAAATGTAGTTATGAGAACACAACACACACACACACTCACTCACTCACTCACATTTGGCTTAAAAACCAGACACCTTGACGACGTCATCGCCGAGACAATGAAAATAACCAAAAAGGTATGAAAAGTAAAAAAAGGAGTCGTAACATTCTCATCGGATCCGAAACAGCAAATGACACCAACAACTACAGCAAAAGCAACGACAAAGGTGGCTTGATATTGCAATTTAATAGCCATAATGTGGTCTTGTTAACTCTTGTCTTTTACCATGAGAACCTGACATTGACAGGAAAGAAGAAGACGACAAAGGGGCCTGCAGCAGACAAAGAAGAAGAAAAAGAAGTTTCAATACCAAAATATTTGGTGTGCAACAAATGAAGTAAGTGTGTGTGTGTGTGTGAAAGAGAGAGAGAGGGTGCTGTAAAATATTCGAGCCAGTGGGTTGTGAAAAAAAAAACAATTAAACAAGCGTATAATTGAATGTCGGATTAAGACATGTTGGCAACAGTGGTGAGATACATATTCGCCAGAGGAAATTAGTTCATAAAATAGTTATCGATAATAATCCTAGTTCACAAAAAATAAAATACGAATATTTTCAACGAAAAATATTTTTGAAAAACTCCACTCGTTCTCCACTAATAAACAAACGTTGTTTTTTTTTTATAAAAACAACAATAAATGGATTAAGCCTGACCCGACCAAAACTATAAAAATAGTTGCCGATAAAAAAATTTTTAACACATAGAAAAGTTATCGATAACAACTTTTCTAAAGAGCAAAGTTGTCGATAATAACTTTTCTCTAAATACAAAAGCTATCGATAACGATATTTTAAAATGAAGAACTTTCGATAATAATTTTTATAGACCCTTTCCGACGATAACAATGTTTTTATATTTGAATGTTATCGACAACCACTTTTCTGTAGAGAACATTGATTGACAGAAGCTTTTAATGTAGGAAAGTTATCGATAGCAGCATTTGAGAGAGCGAAATTATCGATAAAAACGTTTTTATATTTCAAATTTATCGATAATAATTTATCTTTAGCGAAAAGTGATCGATAGTAAATTTTTATGTAGGAAAGTTATCGATAAAAACATTTGTAAAGAGTGAAATTATCGATAAAAACGTTTTTATATTTCAAATTTATCGATAATAATTCGCTGTAGCGAAAAGTGATCGATAGTAAATTTTTATGTAGGAAAGTTATCAATAACAACATCTTAAATATAGAAATTGTATCGATAACAACATTTCAATAGAGCATAATTATCGATAACAACGTGTTTTTACATAAAAGTTATCGCTAATCACCTTTCTGTAGGGAAAAGTGAAAGTTAGTTGAAAGTAGGAAAGTTATCGATAACAATTTCTCACATATGGAAAATGTATCGATAACACTTTTTTGATGCAGGTAAACCATCGATAACAACATTTGAATAGAGCAAAATTATCGTTAACAAGGTTTTTTATGTAAAAGTTATCGATAAGAACTTTTCTGTAGAGAAAATTGATCGACAGTAAATTTTCAATTCAATTTAAAATGTATCGATAACACCCTTTTTATGTTGGCAAACCATCGATAACAACATTTATATTGAAGAAAATTATCGATAACAACGTTTTTATATTTACCAGTTATCGATAACAACCTTTCTGTTAAATATGGAAAATGTATCGATAACACATTTTTATGTTGGCAAACCATCTATAACAACATTTGAATGGAACAAAATTATCGATAACAAGGTTTTTTTTACATAAAAGTTATCGATAACAACTTTTCTGTAGAGAATATTAACATTAATCGATAACAACGTTTTTATGAATAACGTTTTTCGATAACATCTTTTCAGTAGAGAATGGTGATCGATAGAAGCTTTTCATGTAGGAAACAGCTTTTGTGTACAGAAATATATCAAGAACACCTTTCCCCCGGAGGTAAACCGTCGATAACAACATTTCTACAGAGAAAAATGAACGATAACAATTTTTTCATATAAAAAAGTTATCGATAACAACTTTTCTGTAGAGAAAATTGATCGACAGAAAATTTTCAAATATTTAAAATGCATCGATAGCACCCTTTGTATGTAGATAAACCATCGATAACAAAATTTATATCAAAGTTATCGATAACAACTTCTCAAATATGGAAAATGTATCGATAACACCTTTCCCATGTAGGTAAACCATCGATAACAACATTTGAATAGAGCAAAATTATCGATAACAACGTTTTTTATATAAAAGTTATCGATAACAACTTTTCTGTAGAGAAAAGTGATCGATAGTAATTTTTCAAATATTTAAAATGTATCGATAACAACTTTTCCAGGAGGATATATCGCCGATAACACCATTTCTATGGAGCAAAACTATCGATAACAACGTTTTTATGTATAAAGTTTTTCGATAAAAGAGAATGGTGATCGATAGAAGCTTTTTATGTAGGAAACTCATTGATAACAGTTTTTGTGTACAGAAAATATACAAATAACACTCTTCCTCGAACACACTTGATAACAACATTTCTACAGCGAAAAATGACCGATACCATTTTTTAAAAATATAAAAAATATCGATAACATCTTTTCTGTAGAGAAAGGTGATCGATAGAAGTTTTTAATGTTAGAATTTTATCGATAACAGTTTTTGTACACACAAAAATATCGAGAACACAATTTCTCCGTATGTTAGCCATTGATAACCAAATTTTTACAGAGAAAAAGAGTCGATAACAACGTATTCATATTTTATGATCGATAATAACTTTTTATGTAGAAAAGTTATCGATAACCACTTTTGTATATAGCATATTTATGGATAACAACTTTTCCATATAGGTAAGCCCTCGATAACAATATTTCTACGGAGAAAGATATCAATAACAAGATTTTTATATTTGAAAGTTATCGATGACATTTTTTCTGTAAAGGAAAGAGATCGATAACATATTTTCTGTAGAGAAAAGTGATCGATTACAACTTTTCTATAGTGGAAAGTGATCCACAGTATTTTTTTATGTGGGAAAGTTATCGATAACAACCTTTTAAATATAGAAAAAATTACCATTAACACTTTTTTCAGGTATGTAAACCATTGCTTACAACGTTTATATAGAAAACAATTACCGATAACAATGTTTTTATATTTGAAATTTATCGATAACAACTTTTGTATAAAACCAATTTATCGATAACAACTTTTCCATGTAGGTAAGCTATCGACAACAAAATTTCTACATAGAAAAATATCGATAACAAAGATTTTATATTTCAAAGTTATCGATAACAACTTGTAGAAAAAATTGATCGATAACAACTTTTCCGTAGTGAAAAGTGTTTGTTAGATGCTTTTTATGTCGGGAAGTTATATATGTATCGATAACACCTTTCACATGTATGTAAATCATCGATAACTGCATTTCTACGGAGAAAACTTATCGATAACTACATTTTTATGTTTAACAGTTATCGATAACAACTTTTCAAACAAAGAAAAGTTATCGATAACAATTTTTCAACAGAGAAAAATTATCGATAACAAGGTTTTTATATTTAAAAGTTATCGATAACAATTTTTCTATGGAGAAAAGTAATCGCAAGAAGCTTTTTATGTAGGAAAGTTATTAATGACAACGTTTCGATATAGAAAATTTATCGATTGCATCTTTTCTATAGAGAAAAATTATCGATGACAACATTTCTATGGATAAAAGTTATCGATAACAATGTTTTTATATTTACAAGTTATCGATAACAACTTTTCTATGGAGAAAAGTACTCGCTAGAAACTTTTTATGTAGGAAAGTTATCGATAACAACATTTCGATATAGAAAAATTATCGATTGCAACTTTTCTATAGAGAAAAATTACCGATAACAACATTTCTATGGATCAAAGTTATCGATAACAAGTTTTTTATATTTAAAAGTTGTCGATAACAACTGTTCTATGGAGAAAAGTAATCGCTAGAAACTTTTTATGTAGGAAAGTTATCGATAATGACATTTCGATATAGAAAAATTATCGATTGCAACTTTTCTATAGAGAAAATTTAGATAGTAACTGGGAAAGTTATCGTTAAAAAAATTTTGTATATAGTTATCGATAACTACTTTTTCCATGTAGGTATGCAGCCGATAACACAATTTCTATGGAGCAAAGGTATCGATAACAATTTTTTTTTATACAAAAATTATCGATAGGGGAGGGAAGAAAATCGATTATCGATAGTGGAGAGAAAAAATCGATAGTTGTTTTGTAGAGAGGGGTGATCGTTAGCAAATTGTTATTTAGGAAAGTTATCGATAAGAAATTTTGTATACAACAAAATTATCGATACAACTGATCGATGGAAGCCTTTGATCTAAGAATGTTATCGATAACAGCCAATATTTACATTATTTATTATTTTTTAATCCCTTTTCCATTCCACTGTTATCGCTTGGCCATTCTGGTGTCCATCTTCACCCTTCGCTGTCCCATCTTTCTGTTGTGTGGCTGGCTTCTTTACATTCTTTACAGGTTGTGTGAGGATGGCATTCGGATTCAATGTCTTTACACTTTTGTGGACAATTTCTTTTCAATTTTATTTACTTTTTTTGTTTTGTTTCTCTTTTTTGGTTTCTCATTCAGTGTTTCAAAGGCTGTGAACTGTGGTGGAATGCCTTAAAGGAATTTGAGCCCTGCCAGGAAGCATGTGTAAGTATTCTCACCAATGGAGATGAAGCCAATTTTTTTAGTTGGTGTTGCTGATGCCTGGGAAAAATATTCGTTCTCCTTTGTGCACATGTTGTTGTGTTTGTTTTCATTTGTCCTCTTATTTTTTCTTTCTTTGTGTGTTTGTCTGTGTGTGTCCTCTAGTCTTCCACGCAATTCTATCCCTTTGATTTGCCCTGTATTTCCGCCTGCGAACAATCACAACGCCACTATTGGCACTTACAGCGTTTACGTTCGCAACCAGTTGTGACGAGTGTCCGACCCCAGCTGTTGCACGACACTGACGTTCTGAATACATTGACACTTAAATGGCCCATCAGTGCGGAATTGTTGCCGGTGCAATATTTCGCCAGCAGACCATTTAATATACAATACCAATATGTGCTGGAGCCACCACCGAATTGGGCGCCATCGTCCGCAGAGCCATCAACGGCATTTGTAAATGACACCACAGGCATCAATGGTCATGGACAGGACGATTACTCGCAACAGGATGTGGAGATTGCAAAACAATGGTGGAATTTGGCCGATTACAATTGTAATGAGAACTTCGAGTGTGATATAATGGATGGATTGGTGCCGTACATGACATACAGGGTAAGTTGGAAGGAAGGAAGGACATGTATGGGGTCCTTAAAAATATTTAGGAAAAAATCCGCATGGAATACTTATTTTTCCCCACCTCTAGTTCCGTTTTGAAATACCCTTTGGCCAAAACCTGGACGATGTGCTGTACACCCCAGCCTCCGAGGTTTTTACCACTCCGCCAATGGGTGCCCCAATATCAGCACCCGTGATTAAGCAAGCCATTGCCCTAAGCAAGAGCCATTTGGCCATATTCTGGACCCAGGGAAAACATACAAATGGACCATTGAAAAATTACAAACTTGAGGTGGCCGGAGGTAGCGATGATGAGGAGAATGGAATTTCAGATGAAATGGTAGGTAACTTAATTGAATCCTCCAACCCTGAACCCTTATCAAAAATCCCTTAACTTTCCAGCTGCTACCACCAAATGCCACATATATTATTCTCTCGAATTCCGAACATGAAGACTACACTATACGGCTGGCCATGATCAATGAAGAGGGTGAGGGTCCGTATGCAGAGACTCAGCTGAAAAAGCCAATTGCCAGCCATGCGTCCTCCACCAAGTTTAATCTTAACACTTTGCTGGTGTCATCCGAACATGGAATTGTTTTGAAATCATTGGATCCCCTAATCGAAACTAAAACCTTATTTAAAACCAGCGAGGCGATAGCAGATTTTGATGTAAATCATCACACAAGGCAATTATTTGTGCTGGATAGCAGGGGCCAGTTATTTAGGTAAGGAGGTCCGCTATCTAACGTTATTCTGTAGTTATTTTTTTATATTTTTCTTTTTCAGTTTCTACATTGAAAATCCCCTGAATTATTCGGAAATAATTTTTAAGCCAAAGAATGTTAACTTTGTGGCCAGGAAAATCTCTGTGGATTGGTTAAATCTACGGCTTTATATGGCAGGAGAGGTAAGGTTGTCTGTTTTTAAATCTTTGAAAAAAAAATCCAAAATGAAGAACTTTTAGTTTGACTTTCCCCTAAAGTCTTGGGTACCCCAAATTTCTTTTCTTGGGTATCCGAAATGCTTTGTCCAATGCTCCTTGGGAACTCCATAAATAAACACTGTATTACACACACCTAGGGAGATACAAACCCGTTAGGTGTACTGAAAGTCTCGAACATCCAAATGTATATCCAATCTGGCGTGGAAATCTCACGTGTATCTTCAATATTTTGGCTTTGGGTATCCTAGCACGGCTTGGGTACCCAAAATGAAGTACGTATCTCAATTGCTTTGGATATCCCAAATAATTTGGGTTATTTTAAGGGCCTGGAAATCCCAAATGATTTGGGTTTTCCAAACAAGTCGGTAGTGTTGGGTATCTCAAATGATTTGAATAATTTTAAGTGACTTGGGTATCCCAAAAAAACTTGGGGTTTTCAAACAACCTGGGAATCCCAAATGTTCTGGATATCCTAGATAACTTGGTTATTCCGAAAGGCTCGGGAGTCTCAGACGTCTGTGGGTATCTAAAATGAATTAGGAATCTCAAATATCTAGGTTATAGCATATAGTTTGGGTATTCTAAATCATTTAGGTATCCAAAATGGCTTGGGTATCCCAAATGGTTGGGTGTTTATAGTGCCTTAGTTATCAACATGACTTGGGTATTCCGAAAATCTCGGGTGTCTCAAATGTCTTCAATATCTTAAGTGAATTGGGAATATCAAATGTCTAGGTTATACCACATAGTTTGGATATCCCAAATTATTTGGGTATATTAAATGGTTTGGATATCCCAAATGGCTTGGGTTTCCCCAAATGACTTGGTTATCACAAATATCTGGGATATTCCAATTAGCTTAGGTATCACAAATGGCTTGGGTACCAAAAATGACTTGGGTATCTCAAATGGCTTGGGCATAACAAATGGCTTGGATATCCCTAATTTCTTGGGTACTCACAATGCCTCGATTTCCCCAAATGACTTGGGTATCCCAAATAATTTGGCTATCACAAATATCTGGGATATTCCAATTGGCTTAGGTATCACAGATGGCTTGGGCATCACAAATGTCTTCGGTACCAAAAATGACTTGGGTATCTCAAATGACTTGGGTATCTCAAATGATTTGGATTATTTTAAGTGACTTGGGAATCCCAAAAAAACTTGGGGTTTTCAAACAATCCGGGAATCCCAGATGTTCTGGATTTCCTAGATAACTTGATTATTCCGAAAGACTCGGAAGTCTCAGATGTCTGTGGGTATCTGAAACAAATTGGGTATTCCAAATCTCTAGGTTATTTGGGTATCCCAAATAGTTGGGGTATTCCTAGTGGCATAGGTATCCAAATGACTGGGAATTTTCGAAAAAAAAACTTGATAATCCTAGATGTCTTGGATATTCTAATTGACTTGGGCATTCCAAAAGACTGGGGAGTTTCAAATGTGAATTGAGTATCCAAACGTTATAGTTTGGATGTCACAAATTGTTTGGGTATCACAAATGGCATGGGAGTCCCAAATAACTTGGATATCCCAAATTTCTTGGGTACTCACAATGGCTTGATTTTCCCAAATTACTTGGGTACCGCAAATGGCTTGTGTATCCCAAATGTCTTGAGTATTCCAAATGGCTTAGGTGCCACAAATGTTGTGGGTATCCCAATTTTCTAGGGTATCTCAAACAGTCTGGAAATCCCCAATGAGATTGAGAGAAAAACTTGATAGTTCTACATGTCAAGTCCTAAACGACTTGGGTAGTCCGAAGGTGTCGAAAATTTTAGATGTCTTGAGTATCTCAAGTGAGCTAGGTATCCAAATGTCTAGGTTATATCACATAGTTTGGGAATCCCAAATGGCTTGGGAATCCCAAATAACTTGTGAATCTCAAGTGGCTTGGGTATCCCAAATACCTTGACTTGTGCATCCCTAAAAGCTTGGGTATTTTCAATGTCTTATGTACGACGAATGGCTTGGGTTTCCCAAATGGCTTGGGTATCCCAAGTGACTTGGGATTATCGCATAACTTGATAATCCTAGATGTCTAGGATATTCTAAATGACTTGGCCATTCCGAAAGTCTCGGTAGTCTCAAATGTTTGGGTAAACTGGGTATCCAATGCCTAAGAGGCTTGTGAATTCCAAATGGCTTGGGTATCTTATATGTCTTGTGTACTCCAAGTTGCTTGGGTACTCCAAATGTCTCGGGTATTCCAAATGGCTTGGGTATCCCAAATTATTGGGTATCTCAAACGATTTTAGAATTCCAAATGGCTTAGGCATCCCAAATGGCTTGGATATCACGAAAGCATTGTGCATTCCAGACGTTTGGGGTATCCTGAACTCTTTGGGTATCTCAAACGCTTTGGGAATCCAAAACGCATTGCGTATCCCAAACGCTTAAGGGATTCGAAAGGCTTTGGGTATCCCAAACTCTTTTAGTATCCCAAAATCTTTGGGTATGGCAATCTCTTTGGGTATCCGAAAATCTTTGGGTATACCAAACTCTTTGGGTATGGCAATCTCATTGGGTATCCCAAAATCTTTGGGTATACCAAACTCTTTGGGTATGGCAATCTCATTGGGTATCCCAAAATCTTTGGGCGTCGCAAACTCTTTGGGTATTTCAAAGGCTTTGGGTATCCCAAACTTTTTTAGTATCTCAAAATCTTTGGGTAAACCAAACTCTTTGGGTATGGCAATCTCTTTGGGTGTCCCAAAATCTTTGGGTATCGCAAACTCTTTGGGTATCCCAAGCGCTTTGGGGATTCGAAACGCTTTGGGAATCCCAAACTCTTTTAGTATCCCAAAATCTTTGGGTATTCCAAAGACTTTTGGTATCCCAAACTCTGTTAGTATCCCAAAATCTTTGGGTATACCAAACTCTTTGGATATGGCAATCTCTTTGGGTATCCCAAAATCTTTGGGTAACGCAAACTCTTTTGGCATTCCAAAGGCTTTGGGACTCCGAAAGTCTTCGGATTTTCCAGGCGCTTTGGGCATCCCAAACGCTTTAGGAATCCAAAACGCTTTGGGTATCCCAAACTCTTTGGGTATTCCGAAACGCTTTGAGTATCCAAAAACTCTTTGGATATTCTTAACGCTTTGGGCATCTGAAACGCAATGGCTATCCGAAACGCTTTTGGGTTTCAGACGCTTTGGGTATCCGAAACGCTTTGGATATCCCAAACGCTGAGCGTATCCCAAACTCTTTGGATATTCCAAAGGATTTGTGTGTCCCAAACTCTTTGGATATTCCGAACGCTTTTGCTATCCCAGACGTTTTGGGTATCCGAAACGCTTTGGATATCCCAAAAGCTTTGGATATCCCAAACCCTGCGAGTATCCCCAACGGTTTAGTGTTCCAAAACCGGTGTAGGATTTCTTTAACGCTCTCTTCAACTCTTTTCTCTCTCTCTCTCTCTCTCTCTCTCTCTCTTGCCGACCCATTACAAACCTTGTTGCATTATTTTCGCTCACTGTTTTTCTTCTTCTCCCTTTCAGATCTCCCCAAGCCACTGGCAACTGATTGTCACTGACCTTCAAGGTTCGATAATTGAAATTCTCGCTGAAAATATTGCAACTCCCATTAAGAGCATACAAGTTGATCCTCTAAATGGTTGGATATTTGCCACCACTACAGAGGATCAGCTGCTACGAATCAATTTGTCCAACGGGTTACTAACTCCCTTACCCAGCCATTTGCGAATCACAGCATTCACGAACGACTATGAACATTTCATGCTGAAAACATTTGACGACGAAGAACGTTCCGTTTACGAACTTAGCTATGATGGCTTGTATTCCAAGAAACTATCTGATCGCATTCCATATAAATTTGAGGGCAGTATCTTAGGATTTTATTATTTGGATGATATTTGCCTGATGGCGGCGAATGGTACACATTTCCTGATGCAGGATAATGAGAGTAAAAAATTGGATCTGCTGGCATTGGACGAGCTGGCGGAGAAGGTGGTGCCATTGTTTGCTGGCCGAGAGGCTAAGCTATTGCAACCAGTGCCTCGGCCCTTGAAGAGTCCGGGTAACTTGCAGGCGGTGCTTTCGGATACCAAGGCCAAAATAAGTTGGTCCCCTCCCCAGAAGCTGGAGGAGTTTCAGACACCGGCCAGCTGGCATAGCTGGGAATATGAATTGGAAATCATGGATGTGTCCAGTAATAGTGCCTTCAATATTCGCGGCATCAAGTCGCGGTACTTTGAGGTGGAACGTTTACAGGCGAATAATTTGTATAAGATAAAAGTGCGGGCCATGTTTGTGGCGTTGAGTGGTCGGCTGTCCAGCGACTCGAGTGAGTGGTCTGAGGAGTTAATGACTCGCACCTGGCCCATGGCTAATCATAGGCTGTTGTGGGCCAGCCAGCGAGGGTTGTTTGAGTCAAATGAATTGGCCGAGGCTGTGGAGCTTAGGAGAGGTGTGACGCAAGCTGAGGGTATCCAAAGCTTTGTCCAAGTCAATAGCTCGCTGTATTACGTCACGATATCGGACGGAAGGAGGGAACTGAAGTGCCTGAACCTAATGAATCCTGAAGTGATGTGTGGCTTTAGGGCGGAAAATGTGTTTTCCATGGATTATGATTGGCGTGGTGGCCGCCTCTATTGGTCGGATGTGAAAAGAAATTGTATCCTGCGTTCGGATTTGAAGGGCAAAAACATGGAGCTGCTGCCCATATTTGAAGCCCGCCAGATTAAAGTAGACTCGCTGAGAGGCTATTTGTACTACAGCAGCGATTCTCGTTTGGTGAGACGCTATCTCAATGGAGCTCTCCCGGCAGAGGAGTTGGAATACTATCAGATCAATGGCAATGGGGAGGTGATTAAGGGATTCACATTGGATTCCATGGCCAATCAGTTGTACTGGCTGGTCCAACATCAAGAGGAGCCGTTGCGACTCTTCCGCTCCGATGTGGATTTGCCGAAAACCGAGGAATATTTGGAACTTCCCGCCGATGTTGGGGCGGTGGAAGAAAGTCTACAATATGTAAGGGAAATTGAGGGTTTCCTTTTGCTTCGCTCCGATCGGAATACGGCAGTTATGCTGCGCAAGGAATTCCCTGGCCATGTGGCAGAGATACAAACTCCTTTCCAGGGAGAGAGGCTAAATTTCGTGAACCTACGTAAGGATTTCATGGGTTTCATGGATTATCGCATCGTCCCCGATGCCGTGGACCGGGAAGCCATCAGAATCACCGAAGGATTTTGGGATGATTTCAACATCAAATGGCCGGCGCCGGGAAACAGTGAGCATTTATCGCTCATCTACAGGGTTTTGGTGGCCTCAGTGGGTGATAATTCGACAGCCAGGGATGTTCTCAGTTTTGAGGTTGCCCAGCCGCTTGTGAGAATAACAGAACTGAAAATCTCCTCACACATGATCAATGTAAGCATTACCCCCGAATCCTGGTGGAGTAAGGGCCCAACATCATGGTCTTTGCTCCGGACACCTTCGGCTGATCCCAAACAGCCCAAAAATCTAAGAGTATTTGTGGAACAGCTGCAGGAACCTTTGCAGGATGAGGCCAACATTACGGCCCTGCTACGCTGGGAGGCTGCGGACAATCTGAGCAATGAAAAGGAGGCCTTTTACAAGGTCTTTTGCTGGCACAAGGATGAGCTGTTCAGTGTCAAGGACATTGAGGACATGGGTCGGGATACCCATGAAATGAGGTTTTATAATTTGCATCAAGATGCCACCTATATGTTCCAGGTCCAGGCCTTTTCGTTGAGTCGTTCCAAGGGCGGTGAGAAATCGGCTCTGCTAACCTATCACATCAACCCGGAGTTCCAGGCGCGACCGAAATTAATGTTCAGTACCCCGGAATATATTGGAGAATTGGACATGGATTTGGGTAGCTCCAAGGTGTGGTTGTATACCTCTAGCGAGGTGGAGCATATGGCTGTGATGCCGGGCGAACAGCGCCTAATATGGGTCAATGACAATGTGGAACTGATGACCTATCAACCCGGATCATCGGCCCTCAAGTTGGCTCGCATGCGGGCCGAAGTTTTGTCCCTGGCCGTGGATTGGATTCAACGCCAGGTCTATTGGGCAGAGTTGTCGGGTGACATCGAGCGTCCGGTGGATGTTTATGTCTTGGATCTGACCCAATATGAGGGTAAAGTAATGCTGGGCCAGCGATTGTTTTCCCTCAGTAATGGCAGGCTTTTGAGGGATCTCCAGGTGCTGCCCTACTCCCAGCTCATGTTGTGGCTCGAATATGATTTGGAGACCAAGGAGGGGTCATTGCAGGCTAGGAGTTTGAAAAATCTAGGGGAAGTGAAATTGAAAAATCTCCCTTTGGCGCCGCTGCAATCGCTATTTGAGGGATCCTGGTCGGCCGACATGGAGACAGTAAATCTGGTGGATGTGAAGGGCAAGTTGTACTCCTATGAAATCGAACGTCAAATTTTGGTGACCACCAAGATACCCATCATGTCTGGGGATTCTGGTACGGATTTTGAAAGGGATGCGGGATATATTTATTGCCTCAGCAATCACACGCTGAGGGCCTATAATCGTAGGAAACACAACCTAGAGTACTCCATGAATTTCGAGGATATCAAGGTCATTAAGGCATTTAACTATCAACGCTATCCGCCGAGAGAGTGTTTGCTGCCGGCTGAGAGTCACAAGGAAGGGGAGAAAGAAGAGGAAAGAGGGGAGGCGGAGAGGGAAGAGGAACTGCTCAAAACCCGTCTGGTCAAGGCAGTGGGCCAGAGATATGTTTTGCTACAGCCTCCCCAGCATAACTTCCTTGGCCAATGTGAGCTGCCCATACCTGGCCTGAAATATCACCTTCACCTGGAGCAGGAGGGCAACCTTAGGCAACATTTTGAATTGAGCGGAAACTTTAGCCAATTAAATGTGACTGATCTCAGACCCTACACCAACTATACCCTTACCCTGGAGGCCTATTCCTATTACCAACAGAAGCTGGGGCTCAATGGAACCACCTATCCCCCATTCACTGTCCTTACCCTACCTGGAACACCCAGCCAACCTAGGAACTTTAGCCTGGAGGTCATTAGCCCCACCGAGGTCTTGGCCACTTGGCAGGAACCCGAAGAACTCAATGCCCCCCAAGTGCGTTATGCCCTTAGCTTCATGGAGGATGGTGCGGCCCGGGGCTATCGTGTCGATTTGGAAGAACTGGAGTATACCCTAAGGAATCTCAAGCCCCTTAGTAAGTACTTCATTTGGATCTCCGTCTATGCGGGAGATGAAATGAACAGCACCGAAAAGGTGGCAGTCAACACCTATGCCGAACCCCAGGACCTGCTGCTGGTGGAGGCGCAACCCTTTAACTTGACCTTGTTTTGGAATTCCAGTATTGACTATAGCTCCGTTATCCTGGAGTGCCTACCCCACAGCCAAGATCCTGAGGTGACCGCCTTTAGCGTGGACATCAGCCAGCTGGATGGCAACATAACCATTACCAATCTGGAACCCAAGACGAAGTATGAGTTCTATTTTAAACTCGTATATCCGCGGTCCTCACATCCCTATATCTGGCCCGTGGAACAGGCTGGACATTTTCTTTACGAAACTTTGGGTACGGCACCCGGACGTCCTGGGCGTCCAATGCTGGAGCTAATCAGTGGTGAGATATTCAAAATCAATTGGGAACCGGCCCGGCCACATGGCGCCCAAGGTCTCCACTACAGTCTGGAGGGTCTACAGGCCCGCAATAGCAAACGTAGCCGACGTGAGGCCATTGCAGCTGCTTCGTATGACAGCAGCAACCTTAATCACACGTCCAGCATTAGTGTCATCTCCCAATTGCCCTGGGCCGAGGAGTTGCAACCCATCGAAGACAAATGGATTGTGGTGTGCAACACCACGGAGTTAAGCTGTATCATCAGGGAGCTACACACCCTGCGCCTGCTAATGTTTCGTGTTCGGGCCCACAGTAAGGAATATGGCTGGGGTCCATACAGTGAGGACAGCGAGCGGGTGTTGGAACCCTATGTTTCGCCACAAAAACGCAACTCATTGGTTTTGGCCATTATGGCACCGGTGGTGATTGTTGCCACTTGTGTCATCATTTTGTTTGTCATACGCAAAGGTAAGAAGCACGACCTCCCCCCCCCACCCTAACACCTCTCATGCCATTACTTTTCTTCTCTCTCTGTCTTTCTCTCCCACTTATGGCTGCGGTTTCTTCTTCACACAGTACACAAACGTCGCTTGAAAGCCAAACAATTACTGGCCAAAAGCCGTCCCAGCATATGGAGCAATGTGTCCAGCATGCAACAGCAGTTCGATCGCAATCGTGCCTTTTCCATGACCAGCAATGCCACCATGTACACGGGGGGGCCACTGAGTGATGCTGACATTGCCCTGCTGCCGCATGTTAATTGGAGTCAAATTTCATTGTTGAATTTTTTGGGCAGTGGTGCCTTTGGCGAGGTCTATGAGGGTTTGCTGAAGCATGAGGACAACGAAACACCCGAAAAGGTGGCAATAAAGGTAAGGAAGAACGGCATTTTTAAAGTGTTATACCATGAAAAAATGCCTTGTTTTTTTTTCAAAAAGAAATTGGAAATTTTTGCTTTAAATTAAATGTTTGAAAACTGTTATACAAAGAATATCCACATCTTTCTTTAAATTTAAGGTTTTGAAACTGTTATACAAAGAATATGAGAAATTTCCAAACTGAAATTGGTGTTACAGGACTAAAAAACCCCTTTGAAACGCCAAGTATATCAAAAATTGAAATTTCTAAAACTGTTATACAACTGTTATACTGATTTTTTTCAATTGAAATTGGTATTATGCGATTAAAAACCCCTCTTATATAAGCAAAAATAACAAATTAGCAAATTGTTATACTAAAAATTGAAATTTTTTGAAACTGTTATACAGATTTTTTGATTAAAAATTTCCGTTATACGGTTATTAAAAGCCTGTTATACGTCAATATGAAGAATTTGCAAACTGTTATACTGAAAATTGCAATTTTGGAAACTGTTATACAACTGTTATACTGATTTTTTCGATTGAAATAATTGTAATGCCTTTTAAAAAAGCCTAAATATGTATTAAAATGACAAATTGGAAAACTGTTATACTAAAAATGGAAATTTTGGAAACTGTTATACTGATTTTTTTGATTGAAATTTCCGTTATACGGTTAATAAAAGCCTTTTATACGCCAATATGAGCAATTTGCAAACTGTTATATCTAAAATATCAATTTTGGAAACTGTTATACAACTGTTATACTGATTTTTTTTCGATTGAAATGAGCGTAATGCGTTTGAAAAAAGCCTATATATGCATTAAAATCATAGATTAGAAAACTGTTATACTAAAAATTGAAATTTTGGAAACTGTTATACTGATGTTTTTCATTGAAATTTAGTAGTTCACTATTAAAAAGTTTTAAATACTCTGATATAACAAATTTGCAAACTGTTATACCAAAAATTGTAATTTTGGAAACTGTTATACTGAGTTTTTTCGATTGAAATAAGTGTAATGTGTTTAAAAAAGCCTATATATGCATTAAAATCATAAATTAGAAAACTGTTATACTAAAAATTGAAGTTTTGGAAACTGTTATACTGATATTTTTCAATAAAATTTAGAGATTTTTGCATTAAATTGATCGTTATATGATTAATAAAAGCCTTTTATACGCCAATATGAAGAATTTGCAAACTGTTATACTAAAAATTTTATTTTTGGAAACTGTGTTACAACTTTTATACTGATTTTTTTCAATTGAAATAAGTGTAATGTGTTTAAAAAATCCTATATATGCATTAAAATGACAAATTAGAAAACTGTTATACTAAAAATTTAAATTTTGGAAACTGTTATACTGATATTTTTCATTGAAATTTAGTAGTATACGATTAAAAAATCTGTAAATATGGTGACAAAACAAATTTGCAAACTGTTATACTAAAAATTGTAATTTTGGAAACTGTTATACTAATTTTTTGCATTGAAAGTTGCATTATACGATTGATAAAAGACGTTTATAAGCCAATATAGAAAATCTGCAAACTGTTATACCAAAAAATGTTAATTTTGTAAACTGTTATACAGCTGTAAAAGAGATTGTTGCATTAAATTGATCGTTATACGAATAATAAAAGCCATCTATACGTCAATATGAAGAATTTGCAAACTGTTATATATTAAATAGCAATTTTTGGAAACTGTTATACAACTGTAATACTGATTTTTTTCGATTTAAATAAGTGTAATGTGTTATACTCAAAATGTTATACTCAAAATTGACATTTTGGAAACTGTTATACTGATGTTTTTCATTGAAATTTAGTAGTTCACTATTGAAAAGTTTTTAAATACTCTGAAATAACAAATTTGCAAACTGTTATACTAAAAGCTGCAATTTTGGAAACTGTTATACAACTGTTATGCTGACGTTTTTCGTTGAAATTTGTGTTTACACAGGGAAATTTTTTGTTGGTTATATCTTTTGAAATAAAAAAAAAAAAAACTTAAAACTAAATTCTCAAGAAAAACTGTTATAAAATCTAAAAAATCAGGTATAACAGTTCCAATTAGTTAGTCGTTTTAGGAAAAAATGATCGAAAATACATTTTCTAGTATCAAAGACTACTAAAACTTATATTTTCCGAGTATAACTGTTTGTATAACAGTTTCAAGAAAACTGTTATACAAGGAAACTTTGTCTTGGTTATATATTTTAAAATGAAAATAAACTTGATATTATATTTTAGATACATTACACATTCAAAAAACTGTTATAAAATCTATAAATCACGTATAACAGTTCTAATTAGTTGTTCGTTTTGGAAAAAATGATCGAAAAGACATTTTATAGTTTAAAACACTACTTAAACTTATATTTTCAAAGTATAACAGTTTGTATAACAGTTTCAAGAAAACTGTTATACAAAGAAACTTTTGTGTTGGTTATATCTTTTAAAATGAAAACAAGCTTAAAATAAAATTTCCATTAATTAAAGTTTCAAAAAACTGTTATAAAATGCATAAATCAGGTATAACAGTTATAATTAGTTGGCCGTTTGAGGAAAAATGATCGAAAACACATTTTTCTGGTGTAAAAGACTGCTTAAACTTATATTTTAAGAGTATAACAGTTTGTATAACAGTTTCGAAAAACTGTTATACAACGAAATTTTGCGTTGGTTATATCTTTTAAAGTGAAAATAAACTTGATATTAAAATTTAGTTGAATTACAGTTTCAAAAAAACTGTTATAAAATCCTTAAATCAGGTATAACAGTTCTAATTAGTTGGCCGTTTTAGAAAAAAAAAGGACCGAAAGAACATTTTCTAGTGTTAAACACTACTAAAACTTATATTTTCAGAGTATAACAGTTTGTATAACAGTTTCCAAAAACTTTTATACAACGAAATTTTGTGTTGGCTATATCATTTAAAATGAAATCATGCTTAAAACAAAATTTCCGACGAAATAAGTTTTCAAAAAACTGTTATAGAATCTATAAATCAGGTATAACAGTTTTGATTAGTTGTCCGTTTGAGGAAAAAACTACCGTAAAGACATTTCCTCGTGTAAAACTCTTCTCAAAATTATTTTTTCTGTGTATAACAGTTTGTATAACAGTTTCAAGAAAACTGTTATACAGTGATAACAATTGCCGACAATGGGTTTTTAAACGTAAATGAAGATACAATACAATTTTTAAGTATAACACATTTATAAAAAACTGTTATACAACGAAAATATTACAATTGGAAACGTGTTTTTGCATGAAAATATTTTTAATCTATTATTTTCCATTAGTAAAAGTGTGTATAACAGATTGTAAAAACTGTTATACGGAGTATAACAAAATTAAACTGTTATACAAATATAAATTATCCCAGTTATAGCAAACTCTGAAGCTTGATTTGTTTTCGCAACAGCAAGAGTGTTATGTTCTCTCCAGCAAATAATTGTTATCTTCTCTTTGCAGACCCTCCGCAAGGGAGCCAGCGAATTTGCCGAGCTGCTACAGGAAGCCCAGTTGATGAGCAATTTCAAACATGAGAATATTGTGCGTTTGATTGGCGTCTGTTGTGATACCGAATCGATTTCCATTATCATGGAGCATATGGAGGGTGGTGATTTGCTGAGCTATTTAAGGGAGTCCCGACCAAATTCCACGGTGGGTTTAGAAATATTCATGGAGTTCCTAGGGGTTTTTATTCTCTCTCTCTCTCTCTCTCTCTCTCTTTTACAGAAACCTGTTGCATCTCTGCAATTGTTGGATCTCATGTCCATGTGCATTGATGTGGCCACGGGCATGGCCTATTTGGAGGACATGCATTTTGTCCATCGTGATTTGGCATGTCGCAATTGTTTGGTATCATCGAGAATACCCAGCCGGAGGGTGGTGAAAATTGGAGACTTTGGCCTAGCTCGGGATATTTACAAGAGCGATTATTACCGTAAAGAGGGTGAGGCATTGGTCCCTGTACGCTGGATGGCCCCGGAGAGTTTGGTCGATGGGGTTTTCACCACTCAGTCGGATGTCTGGGCATTTGGCGTTTTATGTTGGGAAATTTTAACCCTGGGCCAGCAACCCTATGCTGTGCGCAATAATTTCGAGGTTTTGACCTTTGTCAAGGAGGGAGGACGTTTAGAACAGCCGGATAACTGTCCAGATAAATTGTGAGTGGGGGAAGGAGGAGCAGGAGGAGATTTTGTATATTTCAGAAATATTGAATTTTTTTTCTTCATAGATTTACTTTAATGTCCGAATGTTGGCTAAGCGATCCCGAGGAACGTCCATCGTTTCGAAAAATTTTCAACACCCTGCTGTCCGTCAAGACCGATGTACGTCGGGTCAGTTTGGGCTATAACATCGATGACAGCGACTATGCCATGTATGCCAATCAGCATGGCATTGTTTTCAGCAGCTTCTTGGGTACCCCGCTAAACAAAGTCAACGAAGAGCGACGTGAGGAGGAGGAGGAGAGCTCTGAGTCGACATATGAATGCAAACAAAATCTCAAAAATGAAGAGGAGACAAAACTAAATGCCAATGGGCGTTGTGGCGAACCGATGGAAAAAATCGACATGAAAGTACATTTTGAAAGTGGCAGCCACATGGTCAAGACGTCAGACTGTGATTCGTTGAATGATGAGGCCCATTTGATTGATGCCAAATTATATCGGATGCAAGAGAATCCCGACTATTACATCAATGAGGGAGTGTCGAGATTATAGAGATGTCCATAAATATTATTTCCGAACAAAAACCGCCCCTCTTGCCCTTCCATTTGAAAGTGAATGAAAAAAAGCCAAGAAAATGCCAAAGTATGAACAATTATTTCGCAAATCTATGGAGACTGTTTAATTAATTATTATAATTTTTTTTTTGTAATTTTATTAATGAAAGGAAATTTTTGTTAAAATGAGTTTATATAGCAGAGAACGAGAAACGATGTATTATTTAAGTGTAAAATATTTTTTTCTAATTATAAAGAATTATAAAAATTATGGAGATATTTAGGTTAATATGCGAATTAAATGTATTTTTCAAATCAATTTTGAATATTTTTAATAATAAAAAAAAATTAAAAACCATAATATTGATTTTTTTTGTTAATTTTTCCAATCATTTTTCAATTTTATAACAGTTTGTATAACAGTTTTGAAACTGTTATACACCGGAAATTTAACTAAGGCAGCTATTTTATTATTGGAAATATTTTTCAATCATTTTTTGCATATTATTAGGCCCATATTTATAACTGTTATACAGATAAAAATTAAAAAAAAAAATAATAATAAGTTGTTCACTAAAAATAACAATAAATGAAAATTTTTTTTTTTTTTGGGTTAATTGGGCTTTATTTATCATAAAAAAAATTACAATTTTATAACAGTTTGTATAACAGTTTTGAAACTGTTATACAAACTTTTGTACACCGGAAATTCATCGCTGACAGCTATTACAAGTTTGAGCACTTCTTGGAATTACTTTAAGATAGCATTGGGTGTATATTTATAACTGTTATACAGTTAAAAATTACTATTTTTTGCCAAAAATATAATAAAATGAATATTTTGATGTTTTTTGGTTGAATATGACTATATTTAAGAAAAAAAGACATGTTTTCCAATTTTATAACAGTTTGTATAACAGTTTTGAAACTGTTATACAAACTGTTATACACCGGAAATTCAATCCTGACAGCTATTACATGTGTGATCACTTCTTGAAATCACTTTAAGTTAACATTAGGGGACTATTTGTAACTGTTATACAGTTAAAAATTAATATTTTTTGCCAAAAATATTATAAAATGAAATTTTTTATTTTTTTGGTTACATACGACTTTATGCACGGAAAAAAACAATTTTTTTTAATTTTATAACAGTTTTAAAACTGTTATACACATTCTAAATCACCTGAAATACAACTGCGGAAGGTATTATATGTTTGAACACTTTTTGGAATCACTTTAAGATAACATTGGGTGTGTATTTGTAACTGTTATACAAATAAAAATTAATATGTTTTATTTTTTTAATTTAAAAATGGAAATGTTGATTTTTTTGGTTACATATGACTTTATTTAAGAAAAAACATTTTTTCAAATTTTATAACAGTTTATATAACAGTTTTGAAAGGGAGTATCCGATTTGTTCGCAACTTGGTATATAGTAATATTTTTGTCAAATTTAGATCGAGTTCAGAGATGGGAGATATCGGTCCACTCCTTCTGGTATCTCCCCCACAAAAGATCGACATTGTCAACAAATATATATTTTTGCACAGAAAGAGAAAGGATGATCCGACTTTGCTCCAACTTTGCAAATCCTAATATTTCCATTAGTGCTAGGTCAGGTGCGAAAATGGACAATATCGGTCCACTCCATCAAGTACCTCCCCCACAAAGTGTCAAATTTTTGAATAATTATAACCTTTATAAAATGTGATATAAGTGTCCGATTGTCTTCAAATTTCACACATCCCAATATTTTTATAAACTCAAGATCTGGTGCTAAGATGGAATATATCGGTCCACTCCTTCTGGTACCTCCCCCACAAATATTCGAAATTTTCAAAAAATTTTTTTTTTGCACAGAAAGAGAAAGGATCATCCGATTTTGCTCCAACTTTGCAAATCATAATATTTTCATCAGTGCTAGGTCAGGTGCGAAAATGGATAATATCGGTCCACTCCATCAGGTACCTCCCCCACAAAGGGTCAAAATTTTGAATAATTATAACCCTTATAAAATGTGATACAAGTGTCCGATTGCCTTCAAATTTCATACAACCCAATATTTATTCTATCCCAAGGTCTGGTGTTAAGATGGAATATGTCGGTCCACTCCTTCTGCTACCTCCCCCACAAAAGTTCGAAATTTTCAAAAAAAAAAAAAAAATTTTCACACTTCTCATTATTTCCACCAACAAAAGATCTGTTGTGAAGGTGGGATAAATCTTTTTTGGTAGTTTTCGTAACCTTTTGGTACGAATTTCCAAGAATTTTGGTATGAATTTCCGTTTCGTATAGGAGCTGATATTAGGTTACAGAGAACCTTTAAAAATATTTTTCAAAAAATCCCAATGTTGTCCGGGTCGTTCAAAAATAATTTGTTAAAAAACCTCATTTTTGTCAGTGTACTTTAAAAATATTTTTAAAAAAATCAAGGTTAATGGAGGACTCTTCAAAAAATATTTTTTTAAAAGATTTCCATTTTTGGGTCCCTAACCCCCCAGAAACCCCCTAAACTTACCCCTTATTTTGCCTTTGAAATTTTTAAAACAATTATTTTCCGTTGTGAAACAAAATATCTGTTGTGAAGGTGGGATAAATCTTTTTTGGTAATTTTCGTACCCTTTTGTTACGAATTTCCAAGAATCCAGACTTATCGCACCAAGCCTGGCCCTCGTGCAAAATTCCAAGATTCTAGCTTCAGCCGTTTTGTATGGTAGCTGATTAAATATTTAATCTTTAAAAATATTTTTTTAAAAAATCCCAATGTTGTCCGGGTCTTTCAAAAAATATTTTTTTAAAAAATCTCCTTTTTGTCAGTGTACTTTAAAAATATTTTTAAAAAAATCAAGTTTAATGGAGGACTCTTCAAAAAATATTTTTTTAAAAGATATTAGGTTACAGAGAACCTTTAAAAATATTTTTCAAAAAATCCCCATTTTGTCCGGGTCCTTCGAAAATAATTTTTTAAAAAACCTCCTTTTTGTCAGTGTACTTAACAATATTAAAAAAAACAAGATTAATGGAGGACCCTTCAAAAAATATTTTTTTAAAAGATATTAGGTTACAGAGAACCTTTAAAAATATTTTTCAAAAAATCCCCATTTTGTCCGGGTCGTTCAAAAATAATTTTTTAAAAACCTCCTTTTTGTCAGTGTACTTAAAAAATATTTTTAAAGAAATCAAGGTTAATGGAGGACTCTTCAAAAAATATTTATTTAAAAGATAAGAGGTTACAGAGAACCTTTAAAAATATTTTTCAAAAAATCCCAATGTTGTCCGGGTCCTTCGAAAATTATTTTTAAAACAAACTCCTTTTTGTCAGTGTACTTAAAAAATATTTTTAAAGAAATTAAGGTTAATGGAGGACACTTCAAAAAATATTTTTTTAAAAAATATTAGGTTACAGAGAACCTTTAAAAATATTTTTCAAAAAATCCCAATGTTGGCCGGGTCGTTCAAAAATAATTTTTTAAAAAACCTCCTTTTTGTCAGTGTACTTTAATAATATTTTTAAAAAAATGAAGGTTAATGGAGGACTCTTCAAAAAATATTTTTTTTAAAGATATTAGGTTACAGAGAACCTTTAAAAATATTTTTCAAAAAATCCTAATGTTGTTCGGGTCGTTCAAAAATAATTTTTTAAAAAATCTCCTTTTTTCAGTGTACTTTAAAAATATTTTTTTAAAAAACAAGGTTAATGTAGGACTCTTCAAAAAATATTTTTTTTAAAAGATATTAGGTTACAGAGAACCTTTAAAAATATTTTTCAAAAAACCCGTATCTTGTCCGGGTCGTTCAAAAATAATTTTTTAAAAAACCTCCTGTTTGTCAGTGTACTTTAAAAATATCTTTAAAAAATCAAAGTTAATGGAGGACTCTTAAAAAATTTTTTTTTTTAAAGATTTTAATTTACAGGGAACCTTTAAAAATATTTTTCAAAAAATCCCAATGTTGTTCGGGTCGTTCAAAAATAATTTTTTAAAAAATCTCCTTTTTTTCAGTGTACTTTAATAACATTTTTAAAAAAATCAAGGTTAATGGAGGACTCTTCAAAAAATATTTTTTTAAAAGATATTAGGTTACAGAGAACCTTTAAAAATATTTTTCAAAAAATCCCCATTTTGTCCGGGTCCTTCGAAAACAATTTTTTAAAAAATCACCTTTTTGTCAGTGTACTTAAAAAATATTTTTAAAAAAATCAAGGTTAATGGAGGACTCTTCAAAAAATATTCTTTTTAAAGAAATTAGGTTACAGAGGACCTTTAAAAATATTTTTCAAAAAATCCCAATGTTGTCCGGGTCGTTCAAAATTAATTTTTTAAAAAACCTCCTTTTTCTCAGTGTACTTTAAAAATATTTAAAAAAAAATCAAGGTTAATGGAGGACTCTTCAAAAAATATTTTTTTAAAAGATATCTAGTTTTTGGGTCCCTAACCCCCCAGAAACCCTCTAAACTTACCTCTCATTTTGCCTTTGACAGTTTTAAAACAATTATTTGTCTTATTTTTATATTTAAAATTATATTTATTTATTTATTTTTCAATATACTTTTCTTAAAGAAAGTACAATCTAATGCAATTATTATTTGTTGTTGTTGTTGTTTATATTTATTTATGTAATAATGTTTGTTGTTCTTAATTAATGAAATGTATGCGGTTTTTGTTTTTTTTTTTTTTTTTGTTTTTGGATGTCTGTCCTGTGTGGAATGAATTTGGAGCGGGGTGGGTGGAGCTCCTTAGCCCCGGGTTCGATGATTTCCCAAATGGAAGAATACTTTGCCCAGAGTAGAGCTGTTGCATGTTGGGGTTGATGACCAGACTTACTTGCTATGAACATTTATTTTCTTCATTTTTTTGTGGATGCCATTTATAATCGTTACGCTTACAGTCTAGGGAAATAAATTAGGATGGGATCTCAAACTAAATTCTAAAATCTACTTAAAACTCAGATTATGATAGTGTCCTGAAATAAATCTGGTGTAGAAAGTGGTAATTATGTTTTCTTCTTCCAACTTCTTTTCCCGCCCATGCGGACCCCGATAGAACTGAAATTGAAATTGAATGGGCCTCTCTCTCTCTCAGATGGCTCCCCGTCTTGGGCCACATTTAAACAAATGCAAATTGGGGGTGTGTACATTTCTTGGGTGCATCCAGTGTCAATCTCAACCATTTGCCACGGCATGAGGGTGCCGCCAGAGCGGTCCAACGTGTTGTACGTCCCGGTAGACCCTCTCCGCGGCAATGGAATTGCCGTATCTGTAAGGGGGGATAGGGTGAGAGGGTTGTCGTTGTGCTCGAGGTGCGTCCAGTTGTGGTGGTGGTGGTGGCGGTTGCCAGACTGCTACTTGTCGCCCCCAATTTTTGTGTCAACGATGCCGTATCGTATTCATCGTGCTCCTCATCGCTGTTGCTGCTGCTACTGCTGCTGTTATCCTCAATCAGATTCTCATCACTGTCGGCATCCAGATCCGTTTCATCCTCCTCCTCCGCATCCATGATGGCCGATGTATTGGGTATTTGTTGTTTATATGTGGGTTTGTTGTTGTTGCTGTTGTGATGTTTCATATTGTTGTTGTTATTGCTGGTGGTGGTGGTTGTATTCATTTCATCCATTGGCATAAAATCGGGGATGTAGGCTTCCATGTCACAGCGGACCACAATGCGATCTCCTGGAAATTAAAAAAAATTAACATTTTTTTAAGGAAATCAAAAATAAATTTTTATTAAAAAAATAATGATAAATTCTGAAATTAAGGGTGAGGGTCACTCTTGGTTCGAAGGTGTCAGATAATGGAAATTCGATCTAGAACTGCCCAAAAAGGTACTAAATATGGTACCTTCTGTATTTAAGGAAGCAGTGGAGCTAAAACTCCTAAATTTGCAATGAGGGTCACTGATGGAGAGCAGGATAGATGCAGCGAATGAGTTTTTGGAAATTCGCACCAAAAGTGTACGAAAAGTACTAAAATGTATTACATTTGGTACCATTTCGTGTCATGTGAGCGGATTCCGGGAATTTGAAATTAACATTACTGGCGGAGTGTTGGATTGGAAGTGGTTTTCGAAATTTCTACTTATCTGCACGAAAAGTACTAAATGGTACTAAATTAGGTACAAATTTAAATTTTGGCAGAACCCATAGAGTTGGAATCCTGAAATTTTGAAAATAAAATCAGTATTGTATTGTAGGATTGGGGTATGTAGGAAGTTTTGGGAATTCGTAATTATGGGTACTAAAAGGTACTAAATTTGGTACAATTTACATTTGGAAGAACCCATAGGGATGAAATCCTGAAATTTGGCAACAAGATTGCTGTCGCAGTGTAGGATTGGGGTAAGTAGGAAGTTTTGGAAATTCGTACTTATGTGTACTAATGGTACTAAATTTGGTACAATTTATATTTGGGCGAACCGATAGTGGTGGAATACTGAAATTTGGAAAAAAGATTACTGGCCGAGTGTAGGAGTGGGATAAGTAGGAAGTTTTGGCAATTTGTGTTTATGTGTACTAAATGGTACGAATTTGGATCAGTTTGGTTTAGGGTGAACGGATGAAGCAGGAATTTTGAAATTTTGTATTTGGGACCCGGTTTGGTAGTAGATTTGTGCTAATGAGGTGTTTTTTTTGAAATGTGTACCAAAAGTGCACGAAAAGTACCAAATAGTACTATATTTGGCACAATTTGGTATTGAGTGAGTAGAATGTGTTTGAAATCTGAAAATTTGTATTAGGATCGCTGTTCATGTGTAGCCTAGACATATGGAGATGGTTTCGGATATGTGTACTATAATTGTACGAAAAGTACTAAGTGGTACTAAATTTGGTATTTTGTAAAGGAATCGATCTGAAATCGTGAAATTATATATTGCGTTAGCGGTTGGTGTTTAGGATTGGGATATGGAATGGTTTTGCAAATGAGTACTAAATTTATACGAAAAGTACTAAATGGTACTATCTTTGGAATAAGATGAAGGGATAGAGCTGGGATTCCGAAATTTCTCTTAATGTCGAAGTTTGAGATATAAAATTGGGCTTGGAAATGTGTACTATAATTGTACGAAAAGTACTAAATGGTACTACATTTGGTATTGGGTGAGGGGATAGAGCTGGAATTTTGAAATTTGATATTAAGGTCTCTGGAATTGAATATGGAGGTATTTTTTGGAAATGTGTACTGTATTTGTACGAAAAGTTCTAAATCGTACTATATTTGGAATTGAGGGAAGTGGAGGAGATAAAATTCTGAAATTTAATATTTAGATTGCTGATGGTATATGTGTGTTTGTGATTTAGCGGTGTTTGGTAAAAGCGTCCTATCATTTGTACGAAAAGTACTAAATGGTACTAAATTTGGTATTGGGCGAAGAGATAGGGTTGGAATCCAGAAATTTGATACTGAGGTCCCTGTTGGTATCTGCAATTGAGATATGGGGGTGATTTTGGAAATGTGTACGATAAGTGTACGAAAAGTACTAAATTGTACTCAATTTGGTATTGAGTAAAGGGATAGAGCTGGAATCCTAAATTTTGATATTGAGTTCTCTTTAGGTGTATGTGGTTGAGAGAAAGAGCTGGTTTTGGGTATACGTACTATTATTGCCCTAAATGGTACTAAATTTGGTAATTGCAGTAAATAAGGAGTTGAAACCCTGAAATTTGATATTGAGGTCTCTGTTGGTATCTGCGATTGAGATATGAAGGTATTTTTGGAAATCTAGAATTGGGTGAAGGAATAAAATCCGTTAAAAATTCCGCTAAAATCTTCAAACTGACGAATTTAGCCGTTATATTGGGGTCTATACGAGATACCGTTATATGGAGGTTATACAAAGCCTTAGGCCTGCATAGCAGGTTTTCTGTCACAGGCTGTAGTACCCATTGGAAACTTCAAATACCACATTAGAAACAACTCCGGTGAATAATGTGCCTAAAATCATCAAAATATCGAATATTGGGAGGTGGCTTCATATGGGGGCTATACGAAGACGTGGACCTGCAGAGATAATTTTCTGTTTTAGGCTGAAGTATCCATTACGAACTTCAAATACCAAATTTGAAACAACTCCGGTGAATAATGTGCCTAAAATCATCAAAATACCGAATATCGGGAGGTGCTTCATATGGGGGCTATACGAAGACGTGGACCTGCAGAGATAATTTTCTGTCACAGGCTGTACTACCTATTAGGAACTTCAAATATCAAATTTGAAACAATTCCGGTAAATAATGTCGCTACAATCATCGAAATACCGAAAATAGAGAGGTATTGTTATATGGGGGCTATACGAAGACCTGGACCTGCATTGACAATTTTCTGTCTTAGGCTGTAGTATTTATTACGAACTTCAAATGCGAAATTTGAAACATTTTCGGTAAATAATGTCGCTAAAACCATTGGAATATCGAATATTGGAGGTATTGTTATATGGGGGCTATGCGAAGGCATGGACCTGCACAGACAATTTTCTGTCACAGGCTGTAGTACCTATTAGGAACTTCAAATGTCAAATTTGAAACAATTCCGGTGAATAATGTCCCTAAAATCATCAAAATTTCGAAAATAGGGAGGTACCATTATATGGAAGCTATACCAAAACGTGGACCTACCTGGCCCATTTTCAATACCAAAAGTCCTGCAAACATAATATACATTTGAGTAAAATTTTATCAACCTACTTTATTTCGTTCGGAAGCACAGACGGACGGATAGGGCTAAATCGTCTTAGAATTTTATGCTGATCAAGAATATATATAATTTGTGGGGCCTAAAGTGTATATTTCGAGGTATTACAAACGGAATGACAAACTTAATATACCCTCCATATTATGGTGGAGGTTATAAACAAATCAATGTATAAAAAAAATCTTTACCTTCAATTAGCAAATTATAGGGTGGCAGCTTATGACAGGCCTTGGAACTTCTCAGTACTTCGAACTCAACACAGTATCTGCAAAGAAAAGGAGGTAGAAAAGAAGATACAATTAGAGAAAGAGGCATAATAAATAATTAATATTAATTTTTGCTTAGAAAAATCCACGTTTATGGAGGACCTCTAGAAAATATTAAAAAATGGAAAATCCACTTTTATAGGTGGTCCTTAAAAAATATAAAAAAAATCAAAATTTTTTCAAACTCCATTAAAAATAATTTAAAAAAAAAATTTACGTTTATAGATAAGTTTAAAAAAAAAAAAATAAAAAAAATTATAATACATTTTCAAATATATTTTTCTTAAGAAAAATTGGATTGGGAGGTAGGTCGTATGAGTGTTGTCATCACTTACACGCCCAGGTGTGCTGCCGTCAAAAAATAATCTGATTTTATCATCTCTAAAATTTAAGAAGATTTAATCTTTAAAGACTCCTTAACTTTTGGGCATTTAATGTTTTTTTTTCGTCTTCACAAATAACATATTTTGATTTCCTTAGAACTTAATTCCCCCACCTGGTAACAAAAAAAAAAAAAACACCTGTGGCTAAAATAAATTTATTTCAATTCGAGGAATTTGTTTTCTCAAATATCCCACCCCGCCTAACCACAAGAAGGAAAAGTTAGATTTTCTGGTCATTTACCTGGCGGCGATGGCGACGGCCTTACATCATTTCTATTTTTGTGTTTATTTTTTTTGTTTCTGGTTCTCATTCTTTGTTTGGAAAATATTTATTTACACAGACACACACACAAACTCACAAATTACATTCTAAATGTCACATTTGTCGTGAAACATTTCCAACAAAACTTTTCATAAATATTTATTTTAATACACAGAAATATGTTTTCCTCCCCGGCGGGAGAGAAGAAAAGTTGGCATTTCCACATGTCTGCATGCATGTTAAAGTTTTTCTTTTGGTTTTTTTTTGCCATGTGACTCCTTTCGGCATTTTAAGCTCTCCACAAACACAAAACTGAATATTATTCTGATTTTTTATTTTTTTTTTTCAAAAGGAAAGCAAACGACCAACACTTGTTTTAAATTTATTATGCAAATAGGCAAACATATTGTCCGGTTGATGACATCAGGATTACAGTTTTGGTTGTTCTTCAGGCCAAAGTATTATGGAAAACTCTCTCTCTCCCCCTCCCTCTCCCTCTATCTCCCTCTCCCTCTATCTCCCTCTCCCTCCCTCCTCTCTCTCCTCTCTCTAACTTCATACTTACTGGCCATAAGTGGCTTTGTGTGCTACCACAATGCAGTTGCTTGGTATTAGGTAACCTCCTCCTCCTCCTTGAAGTTTGAAATTGTCCTGCATTATCCGTTTTTTTCCTGGATTTATTTTTATTACTATATGCTCCTGGGTTTTTGTGTAAAAATAGAATGGAAATGTACCTTAACTCCCTAATAGAACATATACTTGGCTTTTTACTGTTGGCTCACAATATATCATAGAATATTATCACTGTCATCACTCTAGGGGAGACAAAAAGCTTTTCGACTGTGACACACACACACACTAGAACATACAACAAAACATACATACAAAAAACATAAATTCATCCGTTTTCTTCCGGACATGAAAAAATATTAAAAAAAAACACATTTTCATCCGGACATTAAAAAATATTTTTTAAAAAATTCACGTTTTCTTTCGGACATGAAAAAATATTTTTAAAAAAAACGCCGTTTTCTTGCGGCCTCGAAAAAATATTTTTTAAAAAATTCACGTTTTCTTTTGGGTTTCGAAAAAATATTTTTAAAAAATTTACGTTTCTTGGGGCTTTGAAAATTTTTTTTAAAAAATCCACGTTTTTTTTTGGGGTTTTGAAAAAATATTTTAAAAAAATCACGTTTTCCTCTAGGTTTTGAAAAAAATATTTTTAAACACATCACGTTGTCCTCTGGGTTTTTAAAAAAATATTTAAAAAAAATCCACGTTTACTGCTAAGCCTTGAAAAAATATTTTTAAAAAATCCACTTTTAATACTAATCCTTGGAAAAATATTTTTAAAAATCCACGTTAGACTCTAAGCCTTGGAAAAATATTTTTAAAAAATCCACATTTGATACTAGGCCTTGAAAAATATTTTTAAAAAATCCACATTTGATACTAAGCCTTGAAAAATATTTTTAAAAAATCCACTTTTGATACTAGGCCTTGGAAAAGTATTTTTGAAAAATCCACGTTTAATACTAAGCCTTGAAAAATATTTTTAAAAAATCCAGGTTTGATACTAAGCCTTGAAAAATATTTTTAAAAAATCCACGCTTTCTGCTAAGCCTTGAAAAATATTTTTAAAAAATTCACATTTGATACTAAGCCTTGAAAAATATTTAAAAAAAATCCACGTTTACTGCAAAGTCTTGAAAAAATATTTTTAAATAATCCACGTTTACTGCTCAGCCTTGAAAAAATATTTTTAAAAAATCCACGTTTACTGCTAAGCCTTGAAAAAAATATTTTTAAAAAATCCACGTTTACTGCTAAGCCTTGAAAAAAATATTTTTAAAAAATCCACGTTTACTGCTAAGCCTTGAAGAAATATTTTTAAAAAATCCACGTTTACTGCTAAGCCTTGAAAAAAATATTTTTAAAAAATCCACGTTTACTGCTAAGCCTTGAAAAAATATTTTTAAAAAATCCACGTTTACTGCTAAGCCTTGAAAAAATATTTTTAAAAAATCCACGTTTACTGCTAAGCCTTGAAAAAATATTTTTTAAAAAATCCACGTTTACTGCTAAGCCTTGAAAAGTATTTTAAAAAAATCTACGTTTATTACTAAGCCTTGAAAAGTATTTTTAAAAAATCTACGTTTACTACTAAGCCTTTGAAAAATACTTTTAAAAAATTCACATTTGATACTAAGCTTTGAAAAAATATTTTTAAAAAATCCACGTTTACTGCTAAGCCTTGAAAAAATATTTTTTAAAAAATCCACGTTTACTGCTAAGCCTTGAAAAAATATTTTTAAAAAATCCACGTTTACTGTTAAGCCTTGAAAAAATATTTTTTTCCAAAAATCCACTACTAAGACTTGGAAAAATGTTTTAAAAAATATTTTTAAAAAATCCACGTTAGATACTAAGCCTTGAAAAATATTTTTAAAAAGCATTGGAAAATATTTTTCAATATTTTTTTTCCAAATTTTGACCCTTTGTGTGGGAGGTACCAGAAAGAGTGGACCTGTAAAGCCCATCTCCGAACTCGAACTAATTTTTATAAAAAGTATTTACGTATTAAGTATTTTAAAAAAGTAATTACAAGGGTCCATAGTAGGAAAGTGTTGTTTTTTTAATAATTTTTAAGAGGCCTAGGAGGGAACGTGGAAAATATAAAAATATTTTTCAAGGGTCCGTAAGAATAATTTTTTTTTTTAATTATTTTTGCTAAGGCTTGGAAGGGAACGCGGATGTTCTAAAAATAATTCTCAAAGGTCCGTAAAGAAAGTTATTTTTGTTAATAATTTTTCAGGGAATGTGGATTTTATAAAATTAATTTTCAAGGGTCCATAGAAGAAACTATTGTTTATAAATAATTTATTAAAGGCCTAGAAGGGAACGTGGATTTTTAAAATTAATTTAATTAATTAATTTAATTTAATTTAATTTAATAAGGGTCCATTGAATAAAGTTTTTTTTAATAATTCGTCAAAGGCCTAAAAGAGAACATGTAACACATAAAAAAATTTAAGACCTAGAAATCAACGTAAAATTTTCACAAAATATGTTTTTTTTATGTTATATTTTTTTCATAATTTTTACCTAACAATTTAGGGAACGTATGAATATTTTTTTTAAAACTTCCCGATAATCATACGCCATTATTGTTTCCGGTGTTTTTTAACAATATAAAACTGTAGGGAGTACTGAAACAGGCGTATGATTATTATTTTTTTAAATTAATACTCATACGACATCCTCTCAACCCTTTAATATTTCTCTATTTTTTTTTCAGTTTTTTCTCTCATTTTTTCATTTAAATCTACAAGGGAACATGGATTTTATAAAAGAATTTTTCAAGTGTTGGTAGAAAAAATGTTTTTTTTTTTAATAATTGTTCAAAGGCTTAGAAAATAATGTGGATTTTATGAAAACATTTTTCAAGGCTCCATAAAAAAAATTGTTTTTTTTTTTTACATTTTTAAAAGGCCTAAAAAGGAACATGGATTTTGCAAAAATAAATTTTTAAAACCTTTTCAAAAAATATTTTTCAAAGGCCTAGAAGAATACATATATATTTCTTGGGTTTTTTTTTATTTTTTTTTATAATTTTTCCCCAACAATTTAGGGGACGTATGATTATTTTAATAACATCCCGGTAATCATACGCCATTTGTTTGTTAACAACACAAAAATGTAGGGAGTACTAAAAAATGGCGTATGATTGTTATTTTTACCTTAATACTCATACGATCTTCTCTCAATCCTTTAATATTTCTCTAATTTTTTCAGTTTTTTTCTTTCATTTTTCATTTAGGTCTACAAGTTAACGTGGATTTTATGAAAATATTTTTCAAGGGTCCGTAGAAAAAAAGTGATTTTTTTAAATTTTTTTTTCAAAGTGTCCATAGAAAATAGGTTTTTCTTTTAAAAATATTTTGAAAGGCCCAGAAAGGAACGAGGATTTTATAAAAATATTTTTCAATGGTTCGTAATTTTTTTTTTATCTTTTTTTTAGTTTTACAATTTTCCCCCAAAAAATTAGGGAGTGTATGATTATTTTCATATCTTACGTTATTCATACGCCAATACAAATTTGTAGGGTGTACTAAAAGGCGTATGATTGTTATTATTTTTAAAATTGATACTCATACGACCCCCTCTAAGCCCCTTATATTTCCTTATTTTCAACTTTTTTTTCATTTCTATGGATCTCATTTTCAATTCTTATTGCCTTCATCTTTCCCCCTTTTCGTGGCCAACAAAACCGATAATTAACAAAAGTTTCCCAAACATTTCCACCGTTATTTTTTTGGATTTTTATTTGCGAATTTCTATGGACATGTTTGTT